TATCTCTTTCTCGACACAAACACACTACAGAGCCTGAAGAAGATAGTTGGGTCATGTCACAGTCTGTGAGCAAGCTCGAACCGGGAACACATCGAGAAGTGCTTTGTAAGTTTCCAAGCAGCTGGAAGGAGCAGGAGCTGGAACTACGACAATATGGCACCCCACAGACTGTGCAGTGTGAGATTCCTGGTCTTTGGCGTAGCGTTCACCAAACCAATGGGACCCTCATGAACATCAGCATGTCCGATGTGCATCTTGCACCAGACAGAATGACAGCCGAGACTTCTGAAGACTTACACGTCATCATTCCCGGGGCCTTGAGTTTCCCGGATGTTGCGCAGGCGCCTATCCCGGTGCTTCAACTGAGAATTGACATCCCTGACCTCCCATTTCCGGTGCATTTGCTCCCGCAGCTGTGGAAAACGGATGGAGAGATCTTCAAGGAGTGTGCCAAAGAGACGGGCCCTGGCGAGAAATGGATGCGCGTGAGCGATCACCACCACAAGGATGCGCTCTCTCTCATATCGTTTGCTCTCGGCGCACTCAAAGCTGATCACTTGCCTCGAGAATTCAAAGCCGGGCTACTCGAGCGGGCTGGAACTGCTTGCCAGATCCTTGACGCCGATTTCCCCGACCCCAAGATACATCTGCTTTGGGAGGGACTCAAAGTTAAAAAGCTGTTTGACGATTCAGAAGCTGCTCAAAAACTAGCCGAGTCTTACAGTAAACGACCGCTTCCTGTGGAGTTGGATGTTCAAATTGTCAGGGCCGATCAACCTCGGCACACAGGCGACCTCTACAGCGGCCGTGCAAGGGGCAACATTGCTCAGGAACCTGAGCTTATCGTTCGTATCCTCTTCAACCCAACTGCACTAGCTCACAGGGCTTGGTTACATCTTCCTCGAGACGGATTGATCAGGGGTATCCGCCGCGATGTCATGCAGGACGGCCACATCGGTTTTGCTGTTGATGTGGAGTTCGTTGACCCTAGCCTAAAGATGATCGAGCCTTTTGAAGCTTGCTTATCCCAAGACGTCATTCCCTCCGCAACCTGCGACTTGGCTATCCAGTTACCCTCTTTTGACTCTTGTGGTGTCCAGCTGCGTCCAGACCAGATCCAGTCTGTCCAATGGATGATCGAGAAGGAGAGCAGCAACAGCTGCTTCGTCGAGAAGGAGGTGGAAGAGTTCCTTGTTCCGTCGTCAAGCATTCGTCTCCGCTCCCACGCTGAAGTTGTCAACAGAGCTAGGGGAGGCGTTTTAGCTCACGACGTTGGATTCGGCAAGACCATCGTCACCCTAGCCCTCATAGACCATCAGCGCAATCTGAGCGATGAGAGGTCTACGATTGAGCGGCATGCATGGACACAGGAGAGACACTGCCATCTGAAGGCCACTTTGATTGTCTGTCCCCCCCAGATTGTCGACCAGTGGCGCGATGAGATAGAAAGGTTTCTTGGTTCCGAGAACTGGAACGTCGTCGTCATCAACGCGAAGACGCCTTTTCATCGCGGTATGCTCGAGACGGCGGACTTAGTCATTCTGAGCACCGCCTTCATTCACTCCTCCGCTTTTGTTCAAACCCTCACCAGAGTGGCCGGGGCTGCCAAATTCCACGATGCCAGTGGAGCTTCGTCGAGAGAGTTCAACATTTGGTATCGCGAGGCTGTCACCGACCTGGAGGACTCATACCAGTGCTACGCTGACAACAACAAAAACAACGGCGCTCTCGCGAAACATATCTCGCTTCGAACTCAGGAACGAAAGGCCAGCTTTGAGAAGGCTCGAGCCGCCTGTATCGTGGAGTCTCACCGTAAGGATCAGAAGGTCAAGGCGACAGCCCGCACACAGCGGGCGACGAAAACGCGCAAGAAACCAAGGCGGACTGCCACCGCCGCTTCTGAATCTGATCACTCTGCTGAGTCCGACTCAGACTCTGCCATGGCCGACAGAAAGCGCAAGGTGGCTACCCCTCACGTCGTTAACGACTTCAAGGATGCCACAGCCCTACAGATGTACTCGTTCGACCGCGTGGTGCTCGACGAGTTCTCGTACGAGAACAAAAGTACCGCGGCTTTCGTGGCCAATTGTGTGGCATCCTCCAAATGGGTACTTTCCGGCACACCGCCCATGGCAGACCTGAGCCAGGTGTGCGCCATCGCCGACCTCGTCAACATCCACGTCGCTCGACCTGAGGCGTCGGTGCCAAAATCTTTCCCAAGCATCACAAGAGGCCCAAGACTCGACAAGACCACAAGAGGCGAGGCGATGCGCCAGTACGCTGACCCCAAGTCGGCCCAGTTTGCGCTCGAGCGTCACGAACAGGCCCGTATCTTTATTGAGCACAAGATGACCCGACGAGAGACCGATATTTCCCACATTGGGGTTACCGAGCAGGTCATTGTTTGCAGGCTCGACCCTGTCAGCTCCGTTGTATACGCCCAGCTGCAGCAGGTTCTGTACGATGCGCGTTGGGACATTGAAGAGGTGCCCGGAGACATGCGCGCCATCATCGACTGGCTGCTGCAACAGACCGGAAACAACAAGGCGTCGAAGGCGCGAGAGAACCTGCGCATGTCGTGGCACAACACGATCCAGTCGCTTTTGGTTCAGTCGTCGACTAATCTGTCGGCCTACGGCGGAAACATGAAGAAGCTCGGCATGGATGTTAGGGCAGGCGCCGTTTCTGGCATCACCGTGCTGACCAGCATGCGGACAATCTACCAAAGGCTCCAGGCCCGTTCCAAGGCCATGATCAAGAGCCAGTTCGACATGCTGATGTATGTCGTCGATCAAGTGCAGATGAGCGGCCTTCTCGCAATGACCAACGCCAAGGGCAGAGACAAGACCAAGCAGGACAAGGCCATCTACTACCAAGACCACCTTGACGACTTTATCCAAAGGTTCACTGCTGATAGACCTTGGAGCTTTGGAGACGCCGAGATCAGAGACGACTTGTATCGCGCCATTGCACCTCGCACATAGCATCACGAGGGCCGCGGCGCGACACAGAGCGCTGGTATCTGGCAACCCGGCGGATGGGCCAGCTGGAAGGGCGGAAACGGTGTGTACGGTGCTATCGACTGGTGGAAGCTGACGGAGGAGGACGTCGAAGCTATGGATGAGGATGAGCTCAAACACGTGGAAGCCAATCTCGTTTGCTTCAAAGCAAGCTACAATTCCGAAAGTCAGATTGAAGCCACAAGCCAGCAGCTCAAGGAGTCGGTCTGTGATCTGCTGAAAGCCAACGTGCTGGACCAGTATCACGAAGCAGAGCCTGAGAAGGTGGCTGCCAATATCGGGCTGGCTTCTGCTACACTCCTCGATGCCTACTGGAAGGACACAACAAAGTCCAAAGACTTTGAGTTTGGCAACAAATTCCGGCCTTACCGCCCTCAGTTGAACGAGGAAGAGACTGATCGCGGTACCAGTCACGATCAAGCCACGAACCGTATGGCCATGGCTCTCCAAAGCGTACAGGCCGGCATAGAGGAATACATCCGCCAGGCTCGCCGGCTCCGTGTGCTCGGCATTGTGCAATCCTTATTCGCGTTTGCCCAGGATTTGGAGGCCGGTCATAAGCCACGTGCTCCAACTTGTAGTGTTTGCGGCTCGCAGGACAACACTGAGATAAAGGACCTCAGCCTCTTCATCACCTGTGGCCACCTACTGTGCTCAAGATGCGTCACAGCACATGAGCATCAGCATCATCAGGTCGAGAGCACTGCGGGCGAGGTTCTATGCCCTGTCGACTCGTGCTCTGCGATGGCTCGCTCTGCCCTCGTCCCCTGCACGCAGCTCATTTCTGCCACGGCAGCCTCAACTCTCGATTTTGAGGGCAAGAGCGCCAAGGTAATGAAGATTTTGGACGTCATACGCACCGATGTCAAGGATGATGAGAAGGCTCTCCTGTTCGTCAGCAACAAGAAGCTCAAGGCCCAGCTCTTCGACGCGCTTGCGGAGGACGACAACGTCGATGTGTACATGACCACCGGCACACACCACGATACTGACGCCATCCGATACTTCAAAGAGCCCAATGAAAACGGCAAAACCAAGGTTCTCGTCCAGAGCCTCATGTCCGAGGAGTCCGCCGGCACGAACCTTACCGAGGCCAACCACGTCATGTTTGCTGCGCCCCTGCACACCGACAGACGCAACCACTACATGTACATGCGACAGGCCCGGGGTCGCGCCATCCGCTTCGGCCAGACCCGGCCGGTGAAGGTCTACCACTTCGTCACGGCGCACACGATGGAGGTTGACGTCCTGGAGCACCGACTCAGACACAAGCTGCTCATCCCCGAGGGCGGCGACCGCATGCCCCTCGACGACCTCGACTACAAGCTCTACGCTCTAGACACCCGAGCTGCTTCCAGAGGCCCACCGAGTGCCACCAAAGAAGCCTCTGCTGCTACTACGGTCTCACCCGCGTTAAGAAGAATCCGACCTTACATTGACGAAGTGGAAACCAGGAAGCTTCTCGACTCGCAGGAGTATGATGAGTGGCAGGATAGGCTTGATGTGCCGCCCTAAGAAGCTACCAAACAGGCACCTTGGTTCGGAGCCAGGGTGTCGAGCAGTCTGCTCATGAGAAGGTATATGATGACGATGTCGAGGCCGGAAACTGAGATGTGCAACATGAAGCGCGTGGAAGCAATCCCACGCTGGGGTGCGAGGCTTGGCATTTCACTTTGGTATTGTTTGAGTAACAAGTCCTGGAATGGATCAGGGGGGAGGGCACACAATTGTTTGCCACTGTTTGAATGGATGTAGTCACGCGTCGCCGATAGCTTCTCTGTCTCCAAGACAGACCTGGTAGTGTACAATTATCATATCCTCATGCGAGCCACGACGACTACCGTACTATACAAAATAAATGCTCTATATCACGATGACAGGTCGCCGTGACCAGTCGAAGACCCCTTCCAATATTCTGCCTTGCCGACGTTAGTGTGTATCGCCAACGTGTTGGCCGCCGGCTTGCTTTTGTCTCCTTCAATCTTGATCCTCGCGACCTTCACGACGCCACCGCCAGGGGCAGACATCAACACAGAACCACTGCCGTCATCAGCCTCGAGGTAGGACACCTCCTCCACTGCCTCCGGTGAAATGGGACCGCCAGAAACGCCTGCGTCCGTGCCCGTCTCGAACGCGACAAACGCACGCGCCTGGCCCTTCATCGCCTCGTCACTCCCGGTCGACGGCGCAACCGCCTCGAGACCCTCGAAAATAACCCTCTTCCTGCCCCGGCGTGTCTGCAGCTCACTCCACAGCGGGCCCAGAACGGTCTCCCGCCTCGCAAAGTCGTCGGCCGCCCACGCGCGCCACCGGACCTGCCTGTCCTGCTTTGTGAGTTTCGGCGCGTGGCGCAGCGTGGCGAGGTCTCGCTGCGAGGGCGTCCAGCCGACGGGCTTCAGCAGCGGCACGTGGACGCCGTTGCGCAGGCCCTGGACGAGCATCTCGGCGGCTGGCGGCGTGACGATGTCGTGGAGGGCCTGCAAGTTCGTGCCAGGCGGGACAGGGATGCCTGGGAGGGGCGTCTGGGACAGGATGGTGCCGTGGTCAAACTTGGACTCGTGCAAGGTCTGGAGGGTGATGCCGGTGAAGGGGCGGTTCAGCAGAAGCGTATGATGGAGAGGCGCGGGCCCGCGAAGGCTGGCAAACGTGGTCAGCAAGATGAAGGACAGAATAGAGGAAAAGAGGGGTCAATACTCTGGGAGGAGAGATGGGTGAAGATTAAGGCCACCATATTGTGCGCTTCTGAGCAACCTGGGCGGGACCAGTAGGCCAAACGACACGGCGACGATGAGGTTCATGTTGAAGGATGGCTAGAGATGTGAGCCGAGGGCGAAGTACCTAGATATACCTCAGGCGTAGGCCACTCACTGTCCATCCTGTAAATGTGTTGATCTCATGGATCGGCAAGTCCAGTTCTTGAGCTGTAGACTTGATCGGAACTGCGACGCATGGCATCGTAAGTAAGTCTCGCTTGCAGTGTTTGTGATCAGACGAGCTCACCCTGCCGAACCGTCTTCAGACCCCGACCGGTGGGCTTCCCAGGCCTTATGACGACATCAAGCGATTCGATCAGAGACGGGTTTCGTATATGCTCGTGATGCAGCGCCCTCAGCGCCGCAATGCTGAACTCGTCTGAGCCGCAGAAAAGGATTCGCAAGGGGTCGGAGGCACGCAGAAACGGAGACGATGTGGAGAACGCGGATCTGAAGTGAACATTACACACGGGCCGCAAAGACCTTGATCTTGAAAGACCCCAAGGTGACATTTTAGCGCGTTGCTACATTTGAATCTTGTTGCACGTTGCTGAAGAAGTTGATCATTGCTGCGACGGACGCGTTTAGCCCCGAGTTGGCCTGGTATTGGATAGTTTCATGAGACCACCCCTTTATATGCATACGAAAACATCCAAGACGAGGTCGCCGTGGTCTGCTGTGAAACGTTCACAATCTGATTGGTATAGATATATGTATATCTATATATATACCTTGGTTGAATCGACGCCAGATTTTCTCCATCTTCGTATATACCCCATGCCCCGTAGATATGCTCCTCGCGAAAGTGGTCAGGTATTGCACACACTGGTCGCCCCGAACGCCGCCCCTGAACTCCTGTGCAAATGACGAACCCCCCCGCTGCTCCTTGACCCATGCATGTGCGCCTCAAATAAGTTCGCCATCCCCTTCCTCCAGGGATTCTTCCTCCTCCCACTCCACCTCAGCGGACAACAACTCTGCCTGCCTCTGGACCTCGGCCAGGCCTGACAGCTCGGCAACGTAGTCCTTCTCCAGCAACGCACGCTTCACAAACTCCCACCCATCAGCCCGGAACGCGTCGAGCACTGGTGGGCCACAGGCACTGCAACATGGATACGACTCGCCTTGGATGACGAGGTTCTCGAATGTACTAACGAAGCCCCGGATCTGGTGCGGCACAAGACCGAGGGCGTGGTCTGGAGGGTCGCGCGGGGTGTGAGCGCCAGCCGAGATCTGAGGAGCTGCGGCATGGTGCTTCAGAGGATGCTGTAACAGACTCGCTAGGAGCTCCACGAGCTGAGCCGACGCGATGGCGGCCACGCCCGGTCGTGTAACCGTGCACTGCTGGTCGAGGGTCAGGTTCTTCTGCGACTAAGAGCGAGGTTAGCACGAGATCGAGGTGTCCAGAATCAGCTCTGCTTACATCAACAGGAGCTACAACATCATTGCAGAAATAGCAACCCAGAGTCTTTCGCTCCTTGTCGCTGGTATCCACGTCCTTGGGCTCTGCGCCATGCCGCATAACGACGAAACTGTCGAATCCCAGTGCTGCATTCATGACAATCTTGCCTGCGGCCTTACCCATGACGCTGGGAAGCCATCGGGACTCTCGGCTGTCCATCAATAGGAATATAGCGTCGTGGTCGTCGATGAGCTGCTGGAGCTTGTCAAAGTCTGCCTTGACCTTTGCCTCGTCCGTGAAGGGATGGCCGAGCATCGGGACCGAAAGCGTGTGGCCTTCGCTTTCGACCCCAGGATAGATCCTCTTGAGCGCCTCAGCAGCTTGTGGCGCCTTGGCCTTGCCACCGCCGAGGCAGTCATCAAACTCAAACAGCGGCTGGCGGACTGGGTTGGAGAAGGACACACGGCCGTAGTCCACAAAGGTAATCTTTCGCACACCCCAACCGAGGAGGTTCCTCGACACGTAGCTACCCAAGGTGCCGGCGCCGAGAAGCAGGCATTTCGTCCTGCTGACGGCATCCAGGTCCAGATTGGGTGAGATGCGCCACTTCATAAGCTTGAGGTTGAGATCCACCGACTGGTCCGCCAACCGCGCGGGGTCCATGTAGTCGGCGAGGTTGGCCACGCGCGCGCGCAACTTGGCCTCGCTGTCCCGTTCCCAGCCCGTAACTTTGGGGACTTTGCTGACATCGAGTGGCTCGGTGGCTTCCGTCTCGAGCGGAATGATGATGCTCCTAGCAGCATACCTGTTGCTCCTCAGTTCGCGGTAGCAAAGGATGTTGACTTTGGAGAGCCGGAAGCGTTGCCGAATGAGCCAGAGCAGATTCCGCAGCGGCCAGGAGGGGTTCTCCGCGTAGGTGGAAGAGTCGACAAAGGAGACGTAGCAGTCCTCGGGCGGAATATCGTTGAAGAAGCCCGTCTCGAAATCCGACAGCTTGCCGATCTCCCAAAGGTAGCCCTTTTCATTATTCAAGTCGTGCAGCTCCGAATTCCCATCCTCGCTGAAGTTGCTGAGATCGACATTCCTGACCTTCTTGGCAAGGAAGAAGCCGTTCTGGCGACTGTTTGTTCGTTGCGACGTCCATGTGCCCACTCGATCGACGAGCACTGCACTCTCCTTCGGCGTGAGGCGGACGACGGGCCCGGACTTCTTCCACTGAGGGTCGGAATGCAGCGCAGGAAAGGCGAACCAGTAGGTGAAGCGATACTTCTTAAGATCGGCGTAGGAAAGGATCATGAAAGAGGAGAGGAGAGAGGGGACTTCGTAGATGGAGCCGTCGTTGATGGCGTGCCAAATCTGCGTTGGTCGGTCAAAGTCGGCCTTGAAGAATGGGGGATCGCAGCTCTCACATGTTTGGCAGTCAGCTGAAGCATGGCCTGCTTGTCGGCGTTCTTGAATTCGTCGAGCGTGTTGAAGTTCTTTATGGACCCCTCGGCACGGATGTGTTCTCTTGCGGCTCGTACTTCGTTGTCATTCCTGCACAAGTCAGCTCCAGAAACAGACGTCGGACATGTCTTCAGCGGGGGCAGGGGATCAGCCCTACTCGTCTCTCGTGAGCGCATCACCCATAATTTGCATCTTGCAGCTCTGTTCGGCGGCGACACTCAGCGGGGTGTATTGGCCGATGACCTTTCGGACCGAGTCGTCGAGCTTATCATGGTCGACCTTGGAAGCAAAGAGGGCCGCATAGAAGGGCAGCTCAATGTCGGAGGAGAAGGGCGCAAATTGGAGCGTCATGTTGGGCTTTCGGGTCGGTGCTTTGGGCACGCCGAGGAGCGTAGGTAGCTAGGGTTCGAAGATTCGAAGAGATGGGATGAAGGGGGGGGGGATCGCAGGACAAGAAGAGACGCGGGGCAGCGGGGGGTGGTCCTGGATGTATTGCCTGAACAGCGAGCGTCTCTCTGGTCTGCTTCTTGACGCTACCTTGCTCGCGTCACGCGGACCTTACTGAGTGTCTGGCGCGATGCTGGGGCTGAGGCTGTCTTGAGGTTGGACAGATGCTGCCTTGTCGCTTGTCGAGCGGCCAGGGCAAGTGGGAGGTGCGGGAGGCAGAGGAAGGTGGGGGAAGCTCCACGAGTCCACGGGGTTGTGTCATCGGACGCAGGGTCTAGGACAGGTCATACGGCGCTCCATTGTCACATGCGAGAGCGGGAGCTGGCTGGACCTGCTTACGTACATATCCCCTTTACGCGTCGACGCGTCTCACCTCGAGGCTGCTTTATCGTGAGGGTTCCGTCGCAGACGACAGGCCCATCTCCTATAACGGAGTTTTACGACCACAGCCATCTCTCTCTCTCTCTCTCTCTCTCTCTCCTCTCTCTTCTCTCTCTCTCTCTCTCTCTCTCCGGGCAGAAATGCTCATTTGGAAATTTGGTGGGGGGAATCGTGGAACATCCACATCCCTCATCACGCACGCCCACCTGGGCTAAACCACAACCACAACTCCCCCCAGGCATCTGCGCCGGCAAGAAGAACAGTGGCCCAATATTCTTGGCCGACCACCATGGGTTCAAGCACCTTCCATCTGGGGCCACCGGCGTCTGGCCCTTTCGAATAGTCGGGCCAAGAA